CTAGCTAACCAAACTACCATGGGACAAAGCTGTGTTTCTGAGGATTCAGGTGAAGGGTTTCTGTGTGAAATCATACATGAAATCATCTCTACAAAACTTCTGTTTCCCATCTATCACCACTTCAGCAAATACCATGAGCACATCTTTTGGATAAGGAGCAAGAGGCCTTCTGTGCACACAAGACAGTCCAGTCCAGCCTCATGAAGAGCTGCATAGAGTAGGATAGTATGACAAGGGCGCAGGAACACAGGTTGAGTGCATCAGGCATTCTGTGAGCTCGAAATAAAGACAATTTATGGAAATTCCAATAGGAACAGCTCATATCCAGGTAAGAATGAAGAGGATTTGCATTAATTCACAAGCAGATGTGTGAATCCAGAGAAGAAAAGTGGGGAATATCATTACTAACCAATAAAATGATATGTCAAGAGCCCCAAAATAAGCAAGGGTAAAGGTGATGGGAGAAAGTCATGCTATGGGCACAAGTGAAGAGTAGTGAGACAAGTGACTCCAGAAATATGCCCCGTGGGGGATGGACGGCCCACAGGGCTGGCGGACAGGCACGAGTGTGTGGGGTATAACAGAGTTGGCCGAGCATGCAGGTGCCCGCTGGACATGAGAAAGCAGAAAACAAGAAACCCCTTTGAAGGAAGGGGCGGACATCAGCAAACAGGGAACTGAAACCTACAGCAGTTCACAACGAGGTCAGCAAGATGGACGCACTAGAAGTAAAGACAATTCCCAGAGCCACAAAGGGAGAGCTAAACTCTGTCCGCCATGTGTGTAACATGCATGTCTACCCAACACTCGATGGAGTTACAGGCCAATAAGAGCTGGGGGAGGGGCGAGCATAGGTCACCGGCTTGACACACACAAAATCTGTGTGTGAAACAACTGGAACCCATCTCCAGTGGTCACTGTATGATCCCATAAGAGGATCTGTATTGAGTGAGTGCTCAGGACAGCACCAGGCACATGAGTTCCTGCAAACACCAAGTGAGGCTCTCCGAGGCCCACATGCCTCGGAAGACTTCCCTTTTCTGCAGGGTTGCCATGTTTGGCAAAAGAACCGGGGCTGAAGAATAACTTGTAGGATGGGTTGAAACACTTTATTTTTCTGTATTTTATGCGTTATGAATGCAGAGGGAATTCACTCCTCATTTCCATTAAGCAGATCACCCACTTTTTACTTGGTGCCACAGTCAAGAAGGCTGTCTCTGAATGCATCCTGACCACTGGCTTTTTGTTATGAATTTGGCAGAAGAAATGAATGAGTAGGTTTGTTTACATTTCTTCATCCTTCAGTCCATTAAAGAATTAAAAAGTTGGGATTAGAAAAACACAGAATCTGGAACCAGGAAAATGCAGCTATGTTAACCCAGAAGCCTAGTCTTTAAAGCTGAGTACCAACATAGCAGGCCAGTCAGAAAAGCTTAACAAAGGTAAGGATACAGGCAATCCATAGAGAAAAAAACATACACCCATCGCTCAAAGCCAACAGAAATATTTCCTAGCACACATATCCAAAATACTTCTCCCTATCTTCCTCTGGGAACAAAACAAAGCGCTTTGCTGCTTTCCGGGCTCCAGGAGCCGCAGGTATCCTCTGGGAGCTACTGATCCACATGCTTCCTCTCGCAAGGTTCCAGGCTTCTGTGCACACTGCGCAGTAGCACCCTACTGTACATACCAGTGAGTGCCACACCTGTGACCCAGCACAATGCTGTGAGAACACAGGCCACAGCTTCCAAGCAGCAAGACTGTTACACATGTTAACACCGCTGAAGAGTCAGTTAGTGTTTTCCTTAAAAGTGTGAGGAAGAAAAAGTGAGGGAAACCTAGTAATAAGGTTTTTGAAACCAAAGATGTTTTTTAAAAAAACTAAATTTACATTTAAGGCCCTCCCTGGTGGCGCAGCGGCTAAAGCAGAGCACAAAGAAGCTTAAGCCACTTCCGCATGAGTTCGATCTCCGCCTGCCCTGGAGGAGATCCACATGGCGCGGCAGACCTCTCCTGACCGGCCCGCTGCTCCCCTCAGCAGTGTACTTCGTCGATCTGTCTATTCTGCTCCCCACTCTGTCTCTGGTGAATCCTCTCACCCTCCACATCTCTGGCCTGTATCCCAGTTCTGTACCAATAAATAAATAAATCTTTAAAAAAAAAACCAACTAAATTTAAATTAAAAAGGTAAGTTAAATTACCAACATGCAAATGATTATGCAATGATACAAAAATGCTCATAAACAACTTATCTTTCCAGTTCCTAAATCTGTATTTGAAGAACAGTTCCCTCCTTAAGGAATATTAATCTATTGGCCTAGTTTTTTTTCTATAGAAATTTTAATGTCTTAGTGATTTATGTTCAAAATATTTGTGAACATTATATAATATGACATACACAGATCTTTATGCAGAAAATTCTGTCTTTCACTTTATCCAAAAAATTCCATTTAAGAATATTTTAACTAAAAATATAGCCATACATGCTAGTTATATAGGTATAATGCTCTAGGTAAAATTCAATTAACTATAGGATTAGGAATCATGTACTTTTCCTATAGAAATTTCATTTTAATAAGGAATTTTTAAGAATAAAAAAAACAATCACTCAAGTAAATATTTTCAGTAGATCTTAGTCTAAATAAAATGGGGGAAGTGTATATATGTAATAGAATTCTACTTAATGTAATACTTAGTGTGTATCACCACTAAGCATATCTAACCAATACATGGCCTTGGACAAACATGGAGTTTACTGTCAATCTTAAGGACACAGGGATTAAAAGTGGCACCTGAAATACAGGAGAACAAAACTGAACCTAAATTAAAAGGAGTATAATAAGACACGGGGGGGGGGGGGTACAGCACACCCACTCTGTAACTGTTATATTGGAATTCTAATTATCTGCTTTATCCAAGCCACACAAAAGGTACTGTAGACCTCTTATATCATCTGGGTTCATATAATGGCTTTCCAAAACCAATGCACCCTCTATCCAAACCAAAAAAAAAAAGTCTGACTTGCAGGGTAAAAGTAAATTCAAAGCTATTTTGAATCATAAAATAACACTATACCCAAACTGACTGTATTATTTCAAGGGCATTAAATAAATGAAACCTTTTCTGCTAGCAATTAACAATTAAAATAAACTGTTGATGGGCTCTTTACTCTTACCATGATCCTTAATTTTTTTTTGTATTTGTATTACACAGAATTAGAAACAGTATCAGCTTCATTATGTATTTCAATCTAATTATCACTAATGGATTTTACCCTAATGGGATCCCACCTGCATTCTGGATTATTTGCCTGACTTGCTTCTTTTTATCACAGCTGAAACACTTCTATAAGGAACACCCAGCTCTGATTACCTCTTTTGTTTGCAAGTGATTTACAGGACAAGACTGTAAGCTTTGCTGTTGCACTCCAAGTCTGCAGTCGCACTCCAGTATTTTCCCAGGACTGCTTCTTCCCACTTTTAAAGCCATCAAGTTCTGTTTGTCTGGGGATAGCACTTGGCAGCATATTTTAGCTTCATATTTTCACAATAAGAAAGGTCATGCCTTTGCTGTCAGCTTCCACTGCTAAAACACTCGGCACCACATTAGTCATGATCCTGTGCTTTGTAAAAGCAACTCTCAAACAATGCCTGCTATATACACAAGTTAATCCTAGTACATCCCAAAGTGTCAAGGAAGAGCCCTACAAAATAGAATGATTAGTTTCACAAGGATATCATCTGAGAAATGTAAATTCTTTAGTAAAGTTCTCTGGTAATAAAGTACAACCTACTGCTTTTGTAAATAAAAGAGGGTACTGTTAGCCTTTTCCTGAGACTTTGTTGCCAGGCAAACCCAGTTAGGTTCAAGCCATCCTAAAGTGATTTTGAGCCAGAAGTCTTACTAATTTTTTAAGACTAGAGGAGCAATAACAACTAGTTTGTTTCCATTTTCATACATTTGAAGCTTTTAAGATGACAGATGGTACTAAAGCATTGACTTTCAAAGTCATTTCATAAGGCAACTATATTTTTACTAGTTACATTTTACTAATTACATCTTTACCTAGTAGGAACTAGGTTTTTTATGTCTTATCTCTCAACTTAGATTTTTTTCAGCTATGTGAATTACTAAAGGATATAAAGGAACAGATACAGGTTGTGCATTTGTGTAAATTATTGCCTCCTATATTAATGTGTCCTTTATTCTTAAGTAGGTGAGAAGTTAGAATTGTGATGCCAGTACTTTGACTTTTCAAGCTCTTTATTTTCTTGTCTTTCTTACTTCCTTAATATAGTTATGTCTCCTATAACAGCATATATGTTATTTTTTGGGAAAGATTTATTTATGCATACAGAACCGGGGTACAGGCCAGAGGTGCAGGGGCGGTGAGAGATTCACCAGAGAGAGAGTGGGGAGCAGAACAGGCAGATCAACAAAGTACTGCTGAGGGGAGCAGCGGGTGGGGTCAGGAGAGATCTGCCGCGCTATGTAGGTCATCTCTGGGGCAGGGATTGAGCTCATGCTGAAGTGGCTTTAGCTTCTTAGTGCTGTGCTTTAACCCGCTGCGCCACCAGCGAGGGCCATATACTATTTTTTTAAAGCAAAAGCAGTCCAAGAACATACAAACCAAAAACAAGATAAGGAAAGCCAGTCTTCTTCCCATGACGGCTCAAAAAAAGCCCATGAAACTTCTAAAGAAGGATTAAGTGGGAAAGCCATTCACATCTTCACAAGGACAGAAAACACATACAGTATAATTTCAGGAGATTTCAGAAACTTCTAGATTGTGCCCTAAAATAAAATGCAACTAAAAAGACCCTTTGGGTGAGAAAGTGAAAAAGAATTCAGTGATACATATAAAAGACCTTGGGTTATTAACCTAGGAACATTTTTGAGTAATGACCAACTCAGAGGCTTCCAAGTTGCCTTAACTATATTCTAGATGGATCACTTACTGCTACTGCCACCCCTGGAAGTGCTCAGAAGGCTCTACCCACCTGGTCACATCCTGCGTTCACCAATTCCTGAAGCATTTGTCGGTTTACTTCTGCAGCTGTAGAAGTGCCTGATTCGTTAGCAAAAGGCAACAATGAATATCTGATTTCTCTCAAAGCTTTCTGATAAGGTCCGAACTTTGGGGTGGCTCTCATCTGCTGCTGCTGCTGCCTGGCAGCATCCTTGCCCCCCAGAATTTTGGTGTCCAGAGAAGTGTCATTGTTTGGTCCAATGGGCAGCCCCTGAGCAGAAGACTTGGATGGCTGCTTTAACCCTTCTCGAATCTCCTGTAATCGCTGCCGGCTATTTCCAGAGTAAGTTGTGGCAGGAAAAGTCTTTGGCCTCATTGTTAGTCCAGTTTCCCTTTACCATAAATACAATCTTCTTAAAGTGTTCTATTAAAAAACAAAAACAAAAACCTAACAACAGTAATCAGTCAGTTGTAAACATACTTTCAGAACAATTTCCTTTTGAAAAATTTCTTTCCTTCAATTTTTGTAATTCCTATAGAAAACCTGAAACTTTCCAGAATCTTCATTTTGAAGATCATCACTATCTGAAAAAGAAAATGGAAAGAAAATGTTCACTTGTGGTTTGCATATATGTTAATGATACTTTTCAGAAACAGTCAATAATTTTGAAAATGTTACATTTGGAAAGGCTGATAGAGAACAAACCAACTCTCAGAAAGGACAAAAATACTGTTCCACTCTGGGTATAGCACATCAAGGGTTGTTCCAAGACATTTCCTGTAATATGTAATCTGTAAGAAAGTAAACCTGCTAAGTTAATATTGACTTACAAATATTTCACTCAGGGCAAGAACAGCCGTATTAACAATTAATGGTTAGTTTTTAATACTTCATTATAATATAATTTCACTATGAAATCCACAGCTTGAGTATTTAGGGTTAAGCCTTCTATCTGGAGTCTTGGATTTCTTGGATTTCCAAATAGCCAGTAAACTTTTGGGCCATACCCCATTTACTTTATCCCTGTGACTACTAATCTTTCCACCTACCGTAAGTGCTGGTATTTCCATATCTTTGTAAACTTTTCCTTTTAAAACCCTCACAAATTTCCTGAAAGATGCCACAAAACTTGTCCTATTAAGTTTTCTGCCCTAACACCAACATTTTTGACTTTAGCTGAAGCTATTTAAGAGGGGATTGAAACCATTTTGAGTTAAAAAGTATCATATATTGCAACCGAAAGTAAACCCAAGACAATGCATTATGGCACTAAAAGTAACTACTACTTCTATGCTGGTGGTGCTTTTTACAAGATGGTCAACTTATCAGCATTCTGACCTAAATGCCAAAACAAAAATACTTATTGTAGAAACCAATATACATGAAAGGGAAACTGGTAATGCCAACAGGACAATAGCCAGAGAAAGGGAAGGTTCCAGATTCCCTGCCCCACCCTAAGGAAGAGGGAAGCTGGGTAGAGAGGAAGGCTGGGAGGACAGAATGAGGCAGAGAGAAATAGAAGGAAGAAGCTGAGAGAGATGGTAAAGGAAAAAGAGACAGATGAAGACTGGAGGAGGCATACGGAGCAGAGGGATATGTGAAGAAGCTGTGCTTGCTTCTCAAGCTTGGACTTGTACCGGGGACTTGGGGGACATGGAAGGAGACACTTGAAAGATATATGTGGGTGAGAGATCCATGGGGAAACTGACAAAGGGCACCCCTTATCCTTATACTGGCTTTGATTTAGATTTTGCTCTTTTCCTTACAGACTTGCCTGGCCTCTTCTGCCCTTTTCCTGTGGATCCCCACCAGAAGGTGCCTTAAACTTTGTCAAGATTTTGGGGCTCAGTATCCCCACTTTGGGCGCACCCTGTTTGGCTGGACATTCAGCCAGGAGGGGATGGGTAACTTTCTGTGTTTCAGTGGAAACTATATAACTAGATTCTTCCTCTTTCTCATCCTTCTACTGTATATGAATTGTCTTCTATTGTACGCTACTTGTTTTAAGTTCTTTTCCACTATAGGTCTCATGCACTAAGAATGTTTGTTCTCAAGTGGCAGATAGCAGAATTCATTTAGAGCAGGCTGGTTTGGGGGCCCCGGTGTACCCCTCATTCTGTCTATTAACATTTTGCTCTCATCACATTCATTCAGGCCCTTTAACCCCACAGAACTCAATAAACAAACACTGGAGGAGAATTATTTAGATTTTTAACATACAAAGAAAAACAGATCCAAAAAAGAGCAGCCTTTATAAAAAAGGGGGATAATGGGATGTGACCTTTCATTTTAGTAAGGAATATTAGAACTGCAAAAGTGAAGAGAGAAAAGAAAAAGGACAGCTAATGTTTACTTAGCATTTACTACATTCCAGGCTCTAAGAGTTTTATGTGAATTACTTCTACAGCGCTATTACACAACCATATACAACTACAACAACAAACTTGAAGTAATGATATTAAAATTAATACTGCTTTCTTAGAGGTGGGACTATCCCCTCTCTCAAGGTAACTCAGAAGATTCAATTCAGCAAGTAGGAAACAGACTAATTAAAATGTCAACATAAAACCCATATTTTAAAACACAGTCTAGTACATTAAAGTAACTGAAATGACTGTTTTACAGTAGACAGTGACTGACTATTAGATACAGAACAGCTGAACTCCCTGGGGCTTGGACTGGCCATGGACCAGAAACCTAGAACTCTGCTTATATGGAATAAAAAGGGGCACTTTTTCAGTGATTTCGTGGTCAAAGCATCTGTTTTGAAATAGATATCTACCTTTCTAAAACTATAAATTCTCATTCCTACAAAAAAACAGAGAGCCTCTCGAGGTCTCACATAAAGAATCTTGAATGACTTGCTATGTCCAATAATAGGCAAGAGTGTTCTATATTTTCCTCTAGGAATTCACACAAATCACTTTGCTTCCAATCTTCAATTTTTCCCCTTTCTTTGAGAACTAAAATGTAGAAGACATAAGTCATACTATTTCTATAACAAACCATCAATGCAAAGGAGTATCCTGTTGATATACATAAAGGGAGCCTCAGTAGTCAAAATGTATTCCTCTCCTTTCTGTAATAGTCTCATTATCTGCCTTCCCCCTACCCCCACCTGTCTACCTTGCCCAAATCTGTCAATTTCCTACTTATCTCATGCAATAAATACCAGGACAAACAGTAAGAAAATCCTGCCATCTGGGGTTTAGTGAGAATTGAGGTAAGCCCAATTTAAAAAAAAAAAGTTTCAAAGAAAATAAATGCCAAAAGACGAGAAAAACAATGAATTAAAAAAGTCATTTAACAGGTGGGAGAATAAAGGAGAATGTCAGAAAAGACTCTGAATGGAGATAACTAAGCCTGAAGATAGGGAAGAATGCAATTCCAGCCAGAGAAAGCAGGACTAGCTATGCAGCAAAGGCAGGAAGAGGCTCCACCCAGCACACTTAGGCTCTGGGGAGCCTCTTCCTGGAGCAATGTACTGATTAGATGTGGAGGTGTACAGGGGCTTAATTTGGAAGGGCTGTCAAGGTCATGTCAAGAGTCTGGACTCTATTTAGAAGATGACAAGCCACTGTAGGCTAAGAAGTGCCATTTAGAGAGTTGAGCTTCCTGAAGTCAGTTGGAAGGTGTATACATGCGTAATTTTAGTGTACCATCAGGTGGGTGTGCCTTACCTAATGAAGCATGAAGCACATGGAAGGAAAGCATTAAAGGACTTGGGAGAGCAGACCTGGACATGTGAAGTCTGGGTCTTAGACTCACACAGGCATTTGAAGACACTGAAAGACATTTGGACGAGATGTGGTAAAAGACCCATTGGGAGGTGGATGACAGAAGTAGTTACCTTGATTTGTCTTTGATTTTGCTCTTTTCCTTCCAGACTTGCCTGATCCCTCTGCCCCATTCTTATGGGTCCCCAACAGAAGATGCTTTATGTATTGGCAAGCTTGCAAGCTTCTGTCACCATGTTTAGGGCCAACCCATTTGACTGGGCATTTCCCCACATGGGAATAGTTAATTTTGTGTATTTAATTGGAAACTATTATACTTCCTTCTTTTCTTTCTACTTTCACACTATTCTATTAAAGTTCTTTCCACTAATGGCCTCATACACTAAGAGCATATTTTGCCTTTATGAGGCAGATGGCAGGACCTATTTTGAGCATGTAAAGTGTAGCAGTCCTGGAGCGTACCTCAGTCTGCCCAGTAACAGGTGGATTTGAAGAGGAAGCTACAGGACAGAGAGCAGCTGAGTGAGTGGCAGAAGCCCAGGGGAAGAAGAGGTAGTATCAGGAGCTATACCTGGCCAAGAAGTTACACCGTGGCATAGATAGGGAGCCACCAGCACACAGGACATGGTACCTAGCTGGTGTCCCTGACTGCTCAACCCATGAAAAGAGTAGGAAGGTAAGTGAGGGAGTAGCTCAGCCCATCCCAGTTGACATTTCTTAGCAGAGTAATAAAGCTGTGATAAATCTCATTTTATCATCAAGTCAGAGACTAAGTAAAGGAAAGGAAGGAGCTGCTTTTCAGTCAGCTAAGAAAGAGCAAGGATTATAAGAAGTGTTAGTTTGAAGAAAAAAAGAGCTGTTAAGAATTGAAAGCCAGGACATGGAACATCCTCTCAGCAGAGAGTAGGGAGTCTGGGAAAGCTGAAGGAGATCCTAGTTGATTCTGAAGCTTGACAGTTCTCACCAGAATGAACCTTAAGAAAAGGAAGCTTCTGAAATCTGAAAGAGCAGTAGGCTTTTCATTTGCAAGGGAGGGTAGGGCAGAGAGAATGTTTTACGTAAGTTTAACATCTATTTTTAAAGTGTACAAATAGATAAGAATAACAAATATTCACAAAGAACACACCTAGCTGAACAACATAGATAAGGAAGTCTATCACTACCACTGCCACTCCAGAAACCCCTAGATCCATCAGAGGGCAGCCAAGTCATATTTCTAAGGTCAACGATTAATTTGCCCAATTTAAAAACTTTATATTCAGTCTGCCCTTTTTGGTTCTAATGTATTTTGTTCAACACCGTGTCTGGTTATTCCTACAGGTCATATGTGATAAGGTTGGGGATTTTTCATTGCTGAGTAGTATTCCATTGTATGAATATGTCACACGTACTTATCCATCCTGCCACTCTAGGAAATGTGGATTGTTCCTGTGTGGGGGGCTGTTGTAAATGGTGCAGCTGCCTTATGGCTGCAGATGCCCATAACTCCAGTCCCAGGTCTATGAGTGGAGGAGAGAAGATTTGTTTCAAATCTTACTTCCACCATATCAATACTTTCTGGCAAAAACTGTACAGGCTGCGGTGGTTAATGTGATACTTTTGAGTGCGGTGGTTAATGTGATACTTTTGAGGATTATAAAAAAGACAACCCTTTGAAAGTAAGTTTTGATGGCACTATATATCTGTATAACACCAGTAATTCTGGAGAGCTTTCCAAAACCTAGCAGCTGCAGCCTGCCCAACTCTACACATATCCTAATACCACATGTTCAACATATCACCCCAGCTGAGGGGGGATTGGTAAAATCAAATGGAAGGTGGAAGCTGGGCTTCTGAGGCACAAGAGA